AGGCGCTGGGTGACGGAGGCAGACACCCCTCCTGGTCCCAGCCAAGGAGCAGGGCAGGCGCTGGGTGACGGAGGCAGACACCCCTCCTGGTCCCAGCCAAGGAGCAGGGCAGGCTCTGGGTGGTGGAGGCAGACACCCCTCGTGGTCCCAGCCAAGGAGCAGGGCAGGCGCTGGGTCGGGGAGGCAGACACCCCTCCTGGTCCCAGCCAAGAAGCAGGGTAGGCTCTGGCTCAGCCTCGCCCGGGGCTGCAGTCAGGTGGTTGGCAGAGTCAGAACCTGGTCCAAGCCCGATGAACACGTTGTCCCTGGCACCATCAACGGGCATGGCTCGCCAGGTGGCTGCAGGGTATGGGGGGCCGGCCGGGAGGCCTGTGGTCTCATCTGTTGTCACCTCTGCTGTTTGGAGATACACAGCTCTGCACTTGGGTCTTCACTCTTTCTCAAGCCTGTGGTTCTAGAACCCAGGCTGGTGAACCTCGGCCCGCGGGCCAGCCCCAGCCTGCCGCCTGTTTTCAGCAGCCTGCGGTTTAAAAGCGCTTTTACATTTTTAAATGACTGAAAGAAACAGAAATAAGAATACTTGGTGACATATAAGAACCTTCATGAAATTCAAACTCGTGTTCCTCAAAGTTTTACTGGAGCCCAGCGTGGCCGTGTTCTCTGTGTAACGTCTGTAGCCGCCGTCACGCTGCACCAGTAGTTACAAGGTCTCCCGAATGGCCCACAAAGAAGGAAATGTTTACTCTCTGGCCCTTGCAGACAGAGTCTGCCAACTCCTGCTCTGGAATGCCGTTCTGTTTGTGTGTGGCGTTCCTCTTCTCTGTCTCTTCCGCTTTTTTGTTGTTTCATCACTGCTGAAAGAGGAAGTTAAAATTTCCAGCTAGGCTGCAGACGTGTATATTTCAACTGGTAATGCTGCCCACGTTTGCTTCACATATCTTAAAGCTGTCTGTGACCGTTCCGTGGCACTCTGGTGATCCTCGAAGTCCATTCATGTGGTGTTAAACCACCCGCTGCCCTGAGCAGACCGGCCACCCCATCGTCCGGCTTCAGTCTACGGTCCCGTTTTCAGAGCGTGGTCACGAGGCGGGGGCTGTTGTGACAAGGACACGAAGGTGCAGAGAGCAGCGAGTGGGCCCGACAATTCGCACCCCAGTCTTCTGCAGCCAGTGTCCGCCATCCACCCGCTGCACCACACCAACAACTCTGGCTCCGTGCCGCACCAGGACAAGCAGCATCCCAAGCTGGGGTCTGCAGTCTGGAGCCATCACCTCCCCAATGCTTCAGTCGACAGGCTGCCGGATGAGGGTGGACGTGGCTCTGGGCACTTGGCATCGGCTGGGCTTCCGAGCCTGAAGCTGGGGTTTGGGGCACAGCAGATGAGTTCCTGCACACCAGCATGACAGTGGGTCCCACCCTCTGCCCTGAGCAGCCACCTAAGGACCAAGGTGGGCCTTCCACCCCACTTCCTACCGCTGCCTTTCTGCCCTGAACAAGAGGACTCCCCCGCTCCAGGCCCACGGCAAGCTGGGAATCGGGTCGTTAAGGCGCAGAGGATGCATGGACGGAGTCATCCCCTGAAGATCTGCTTCCACCCTAGCGGCCAAGGCCTCCTTCTGGCCGGCCTTCAGTACCAGTTGCTGTGGCCACGTGCGGGAGCCTGCAGGCCCGGCCGCAGAATTGTCAGTAATTACTGTCTGTATGTAAACGCTTTCACAAGCATCTATTCCGTGCAAGGTTCCGTGTTGACGGGGATATCTGAAGACTGAACACGCACAGCAGAACAGCACACGTTCCATCGTGGGCTGCAGCAGGCCCCGCCTGCTCTCCCCCGGTCTGAGCGGCAGTGGTGTGAAGGACCGCCTCCCACCTGGCAAGCACAAACACAGGGACCTGGACACTGACAGGTCTGTGGACGCCAAAGACCAGGTCCCTCGGCAGCATGCTCCGCAACTCAGGCACGCAAGCAGAGATGCTCATCCCTGAACAGTATTGACAAAGACCACCCGCACCCAGACTCCCCACCTAGAGCAGGTTCACGGCCGCCTCAGGGA